AGGGCAGGGCTGATTTCTGTGTGTTGGCAATTCCCAGTGAGGGCAGGCGCTGAGTGACTGGAACAGGTGTTCGGGAACCCCAGTGACTATCATTTCATTTTGTTCCTCCTCCAGCCTCACAGATTATGGATGAGTTGTTATGTGACCAAGTTCTATTTTTAACTGCAAACATGGTTTTTTTCTACTAGAATCATATTCTTTAGAAACTGCATTATGCAAACTGGCTCCAGAGTTTGCCAGGAGTGCTAAACTAAACTGTGACAATTCCCAGCTGTAGTCCCTGAACCCGCAACCGTGAAGCAAAGAGCACACTTACTTGCTGCAAGATAAGAGTTGCAGTTGTGTTTAATGACTGTCTGTTGCTGCCTGAGGAGGAAGCTATGTCTGGCCACTTGATCAGCTTCTCTCATCTTGTCTCCTGACTAATTCCAGAATAAATCCTGTGGGCCTTGAGGGAGGGCATTAAAAAGGCTTCTGGTGAAAATTACACTTGAAACAAGTTGTAATGAGGCGCAAGCAACGTAATTCATTGTGATGTATCTTCTCAGGCTGTGAATAGGAGAGAAGATAGCTTTGATGGAGGGCATTCAGTTGAGCAGTCGCTGTAATGTTGTGTTCCTGCTGAGCCATTCACTGTCCTGAAGTGAGCACCTTAGACAAGTCCACTGGTCGGTTCTCAGGTTTGTCCTTGGGGTGATCACAGAGAAATGTCTTTCAAGAATTGTACAGAGCCAGGATCTTTTCCTCTGACTTCTTCTGTACTTCTACCCAGAGGAGCAGAGCTAGCATTCTCTGAAGGGAGACTGTTAGTATCACTTAGGATTCTTTGGTGGCAAGCAACTGAAACCAAGGCTTTAATAAGCGTTCACCTACTTAAGAAAAAAAGGCCTTGTTAGAAAATAAGTTTCATGAGAGCAGGGGCGAGCTTGTTCACTGCTGTTTCCCCAGTAGGACAGTACCTTGAATATACAGTAGGCATAGAATAGTGAATATAGTAGGTAAGTGTTTGTGGACTAAAATAAGATATAGGGTGGATCAAAGAATTGTTAGGAAGATTGAGAACCAGTTTCAGAAAAGAATAAGAAAGAGAGCATCTCTGGAGGGATTTAGGCAGCAGGAACTAGGTCCCTGACTGTCCCACCAGGACACCACTGCTGGAAAGAATGCTTTCCAACTATTCTTACGTTTTTGAGTGTATATACTCATGCATCAGAATCCAGAGAGTGTATTAGCCAGAGTTTTCTAGAGGAAAACAGAACCAATAGGATCGATTGATCTATCTATCTATCTACCTATCCAGTGAGAGAGAGAGATTGGTTTATCATAAGGAATTGGCTCACACGATTATGGAGGCTGGCAACCCCAGTCTGCAGGGTGGACTGGCAGGTTGGAGTTGGAGACCTAGAGAGAGCTAATGTTCCAGCTCAAGGGCTTTCAGGCAAAAGAGCAATGTTGCTGATGAAGCCCAAAGGCAGTCTGCTGGAGAATTGTCTCTTACTTGGGGAGGGTCGGTCTTTTTGTTCTGTTCTATTCTATTCCGAAGGAAGCTTACCCACATACGAAGAGTGATCTGCTTTACTCCAATTGCAATGTTAATGTCACCGAAAAAGACCCTTGCAGAAACACCCAGAATAATCTTTGGCCAAATATCTGGGCACCCCATGGCCCAGTCAAGTTGAAACATAACATTACCTGCCCCAAAGAGGGCCAGGGAGAGCACAACTGGCCCATCTGGAGTCATGTGACCATCCCTCCATCCAGTACAAGGCAGGGTGTTTTGTTTGGCAATTCCAGAGACTTCTCACAAGGGGCAGAACTTATTTCCCAAAGGGGCGGTGGGAGGTGTTACCAGGAGAAAGGGGAATGGATACTGGGAGCCACAAGACAGCAGCTGGCTCTTCTGTCAGAAGAGTCTTACTTTGTCATCTCCTTCTGTGGGGGTTAACATCAAGGTTCAGCTCTCTGCTTTGACTGCCCCTTCCAAATCCTCTTCTCTGTGTGGAAGGAGAGCAGCCAGGATGAGGAAAGAAATAATTGTGTGCCTTTGGCCCCTCACCTCCAGTCATGAGTAGAGATGTCTGAGGGTGGACCATCAATTCTTCACCTTTACCCTTCGAGGCTTGTGCTCATGATTCAGAACCCAAAAGCTGGCTCACTCTGAAAAGCACCCCCACACTGTAAAGGGTGTTACCAAGATACCTCTGCTTCAGAAAAAATTAAATCTATTGCACTCTGTGTATTTTTCTTCTCCATTCCTTAACCACTAGAGGTGTCATTCACCTGTTGTGGCTGCTGCAGTGCCTTTGTAGCATTAAAAATGCACCTTTCCTCAAGATGCTTTACATCATTGATCAGAAATTGTCATGATGTACTGACATTGTTAAAACAAGATGCTGCTGTAGACCAGGAAATTGACATAATAAATATGTCTACAATGTTTACAATGTGAATGATGCCTCCTTAGATGCAGCCTCCTTGTGCAGTGTACAATCTGTCCACCTGTACGTGGCAGGCCTGACTACCAAGAAAGAAGGGGGCCACCAGAGGCCAGGGAAGCACAACTTGTTCAGTGCTCTTATGAATGGGGTGTGTGTGTGTGGGTGGGGCAAGGCAGGGATGGAAATGGGTTTCCCTTTTTTGGTAATCTGATCAGTAGCTGAGCTGCTGATCAGATTCAAAACAGAACTGTGAGTCTGAGATTCCTGTAGTATGGCAAGGCCACCATACTCCCCAAAGAAACTGCCTGCAAGGAATTAGGAACCACAGCTCTCCTCTTGGGTGAATTCCTGGGAGATATGCATGGCTCAGACCAGAGCCGATGGGCTGGTCCTGCCACTCGAGGGCACACTTACTGTGACATCATCTTCAGGGATTTGTAAGCCTGACTTCCAATTAGCACATTATATAGAAGGACTGACTCACTGCAAATTCCATGGATCCATGGTGAAGTAGACAAGGTCAATAGTCTATCATGAAAACAGATAAAATAAAAATAAATAGAAACTCTAATGTTTTTTCACATAGCTCAGGGGATCATGTTGTACCCCTCCTGGGGTGGGCACAGTGGATCACTGGTGTAGAGCCAGTTACTCCCCTTTCAGCACCCATACAGACAAGGCTAATTGATTACAACCCTCCTCCTGAACTTGGAGACATCTTTGTACTCTGTATACTGTGTTGTAACAACACAGTGGTCAGGGGTTGCTAGGTGGGGGCTGGTTGGCATACTATGGCCCCAAGGCCTTATTCTGCCCACTGCCGGTTTTTATGAATAAAGTTTTATTGGGACACAGCCACACTAAATTATGTATTGTCTGTGGCTGCTTTTGTACTCCAATGGCAGAGCTGAGTAACTGCCACAGGGACCGTACTGTCCAAAAGCCTGGAATACTTATTACCTGACTCTTTACAGAAATTCAGGAAAGCCAATTCTTGCTAGGGCCAAAATTGATGACTGTGTGTAGGTAATGAAACGTGGACCTTGTGTGTGCTGTCCGTGCTCTGGAGTTAGCCTAGAGTTTGGAGAATGGCTCATTGTGCCAATGAGGCCAGGCTTTGCCTTATTCTTCTGTGGGAACTTTATCTTTGCCAGCTTAGAAATCTAACCCCTTGGTCACAAGGACACAGAGAAGCGAGTGAGGAAGCAGCTGGTCACCTAAAGCCCATCTACTACACAGTACGGTCAGCAGTGACCTCTCCACCCTCAGCCCCTCTGCTACTTGCCTCCAAGCCGATGTGCCGATGTGTGTGCCCTTCAGCATCGGTAACACCCACAGCCCCCAGTCCTCCACCGATGCAAAGACGTTGCATGGCACCTAGGGGCCGTGAGAATCTGTGCCGAAGGGTCTGAATTTCTCAAGAGGAAATGTTTTTAAATTCTAGATTTGAGGTGGCAGTTGAGAAAGGAACTGAAATGGTTTCCCTCTCGTCCTGACAGTTTCCAGCTCTCAAAACACTCCCTTACCGCTTCCTCTTTGGCTTCAGCCATTGAAAGTAGGAAAGAGAAAAGGAAGAGAATCAGTAAGAACTGATAATGGAGGTGAAAAGGCAGGCCGAATAAGAGGGATAACTATGTTCTGTAATCTTAAAAGTGTTTATGTATACTGACATGGTTGAATTTGAACCTAAAGTCCACCCCTGTCAAGTTTGAGCAATTCTCACAAACTATTAGGTACCAGCCTGAGACCTTACATAGAGGCTAAGAAATATGCTGGGAGAGAAACTTTCTTAGGGAAGAGTGCAG